AAAGACTGATTACCAATTGGTTGGCTCGTTTGTCGAAGCCGATCACAAATAATGTTTGTAGCAGCGTGAAAAACACGAATCCGGTGATGAAACCGAACCAGAGATCAATAGCCTAAACAAACGGTCATGTGTGTGAAGTTCTGAGATCAAACCCCCGGAGAACAAACCTTTAGATAAGAAACACTAGGGAGATGTTCTCGTGCACCAGCTGATTCCGTAGAGAGTGTGAGCAGAACTGTTATAGCGACACCGATTCGACCCTCCATGAATTCTTCCGGTAGCCAAACGCCAACCTGCAAGTACGCAGTATAGCTGCCACCATTTTCCACAATTTGATGCTCATAGACTCAATTCTTTCACGGCTGAGAGATCAGAGAGGTTATTTCAGATTCTGGGTCATTCTCAGGAAGAAGATACCTGACATCCTTCTTACTTGAATAGAGGAAGATGGTGGTCTTCTTCATAGAACGTGCCCGGAAACAGGAACACTTGGTCCTACATTTTGAAATGAATGGCCGTATCATGGTATCTGCTTGGAATCAACCCTCGCCCCCTACCCAAATAGACAATAAGAAGACTTAAGAAATGATTTTCGAAGAGGCCAAGTGCTCTATCCGAAGAAGGACTTTTAAGTAAACTAACCCAGGAGAACATTAGCGCTAACGAAGTTGGAATGTAGGTTTGGGCGATGTGAAATCCGACATCTCTTTTGAGGCGGAACACAGCGCGAAGACATGAAAAGGCTCCTGAAATCAGAAAGTTTGTAGTAGAACACACTGGATAACATATAAGGGAACTTTTTATGAATGAAATGGTGGGAACGACCTCCTCAAACGGCTCAATATGTACATAGTCTTCTTTATAGAACGTGCCCGATTGAGACGTAATGGTGGCAAGATTCCACCCTGGGAATGCCCCATTCCCGTCATACTTTGTTTGGTCCAAACAAGTCTTTTTCTCACGACAAACAAACCTGTGATCTCCTCATCAAGTCTTGTGAGTCTGAACAATACTAGTCCTTAGAGAAACTCTTCTTAAACTGGAGCAGGATTTGGTTTCTGGTGGGCTCCTGTAAATTACCGTGATGTACTTTGTGTCCTTAGGCTAGAATAACTATTTCTATTCGCTCTCTTGCACGCAAACTCCAACACTTTTCAGTCGCCTATCCCGTGGAGACAGTCGATTTGAATGGTTCACTCGCCGGATTGATGCCATCGACAAGAATCCTGATGTGAAACTTCCCGAGTTGTACATTGACCGCTATGAGCCAACAGTGTGCAAGAAGACAAGGAAAATCCGGTCAGTTGCCCCTGGTTACTGCAAACGCCGCTCTTTGGGTAGACGAGTAGCATTTTTGTATGCTCCTCTAACTGACCGTTTGGTCTTGATTGACAAGGAATCAAAATTTAGGTTCGAGAATTATGTGCGCTTGATAACCCTGCAAGCTCCGTCCATCAGTTTTTCCCCAAGCAAACCTGATAGCTTTATTCAACCTTAAGAAA